GCCTCTATTCATGTTATTCCTTTTTTTCTTTTTCATTTGTGTACTGTAATTTTTCCAGCTTCCTACTGAGTTTTTATTTTATTTAATATATTCAGTCATTCAAAAAAAGATATAAGGAACACTCAAACACAAGATTCATGGAGTAAGGGACTAGACAACTCTCAGTGCCTAGAAGTTTATGTATCGTCATGTGTATTGGAGATTTAATGATTTTGGGGTTGGATTTCAAATTAAAGTTATAGGTCCATGTCCACAGAATTCCTAAGAATATTGGAAGTACACAAATTGGATTTGGGTTATTCAAATTAAAGAGGTCACCAGACCACACTCTGCCTAGAAGCTAGAAGTTGGTTGAGGTTACTTTTTTTTCCTACTATATAAATGGTGTTTTCTTTAATAATAATCATTGTTACTGCAAGTAAGCACACAAATTTTAAAGATGAGTGATGTTTAGACATAAAAAAATCATTGTTACAGAAATTAAGTGCATAAGTTTGTTTCATTTTAATACAATTAATTTTATTATCATATGCTGAATGTATGCAGGATTCATATATTTTTGTTGATGATTCACATAAATTTGAATACATGTGTACGAATTATTGAAATGACTTTTTAAGGTAATTCTGTTATTTGAAATAAAGGTTTATTCATTTGCATTAATGTTTTATTCAAATAAATAATTCAGGTTTGGACAATGTACATTTTATTTATTTAATTGTTTCATTATTTGCCTTGGAATTGTAGGCAAATATGACCACATAAATAAGTTTCTAAATTTCTAAATTTATTCAAGAAACATGAAAATTGTATGTTTTAAAAATCATAAAATATTAACCACGAATAATAACTTACAATAAATATTTATATAATGTTTCTAAATTCCTAAATTTGTTTGATAAAGAAACATAAAAAATGGCATGTTTTAATAATCACATAATATTAACCATAAATAAATCTTTTTCAAAATATCTATCTATCTACTTATCTTAATAAAACGAAACCTAAAGTGTTACATGTCATTTTTTTAGCTTGTCTTTTTGACACACGTCATATTTTTCTATATATGATATCTATTTATTTAAAATCCTATTACATATCTCATATTTTAATAATCATGGATACATTCTTCTAATTATCTTATTTATTATTATTTTTTACCTATACAAAAATTTTAATCATAAACACCATGGTTTCCACGGGTTATAGCCTAGTATATATATATATATATATATATATATATATATATATATATATATATATATATATATAGCAAAGTGAATGATTTTAAAAGTTGTCGAAGCAATCATAAATTTGTCGTTCCTGTTTCACCCTTGACGATTATTACATTATTAACATTTTTTTACTTTGACTTTTATTTTAGTGGTTTTGAGTTGACAATGGTTTTAATACGGTGTATTTAGAATCCCCCAAATATCATCCATGGTTAACAACGATTGCGAACTCTGCCTCTGCTTCTACTGCTACCGGCGATGGCAAAGGAATCTCAACCCTCCACCTCCTCCTCCATAGACCCGTCACAACCATGCCGTCTCTTCAATTTTCCTGAGATTCTCTTAGCAACTGACAACTTCAACGAATCTTTAGTAATCGGGCACGGGGGGTTTGGAAAAGTTTACAAAGGAAACGTTATCAACGGAACAATCGTTGCCGTTGCCGCCGTTAAACGATTGGATTCCATGTCCGCTCAAGGTTCAACAGAGTTCTGGGCAGAAGTTGAGATGCTTTCAGCCTTGCGTCACTGTCACCTTGTATCTTTGTTTGGTTACTGTAATCATGAAAAAGAGATGCTGCTGATCTATGAATATATGCCCAATGGAACACTCGAAGACCACCTCCATAAACTTGGTACCCATCTTTCATGGCTTCAACGACTCAAGATCTGCATAGGAGCTGCTCGTGGGTTAGACTACCTCCACACTGGTATGGGGGTTGACTTTGGTGTTATACATCGTGATGTCAAGACGTCAAATATCTTGTTGAGTGAAAAACTGGGCAGCTAAAATTTCAGACTTTGGGTTGTCCAAAATTGGTCCAACGAATCAACGATCGACTTATGTGAACACACTTGTTAAAGGCACGTTTGGGTATCTCGATCCTGATTATTTCTTCAATGGAAGGCTCACAAGGAAATCTGACGTGTACGCATTTGGCGTGGTATTGTTGGAAGTGTTGTCTAGGAAGCGTGCAGTGGATGCAAGTCTTTGATGAAGAGCAACATAATTTAGCAAGATGGGTTCAAGAATCTATCAAAGAAGGCAATTTGAAGCGTGTAATTGATTATGACATAAGGGGTGAAATATCCCCAAAATGTCTGAAGGGATTTGTTAGAATTGCAGAGAGATGTTTGCATAGCAATCCAAAGCAGCGTCCTACCATGGCTGAGGTTGTGGTAAGTCTAGATTTTGTATTGACCTTACAAGAGAAAACCAATAGCTACTTGAAGGTTGCTGGTAGAACAATATTTGGAAGAATGCTACATATGTTTTTGTTTCCTTTCCCCTCCAATGGTATTTTAAGCTATACTAGTAATACTACTTACAAGCATTACTTAGATTCTTTTAATAACGACTATATATAATGATCTGTCTGTATTCAATTATTTCAGCCAATGATGATTCAAATGTATTAAGTAATAGCAAGGACAACAATAGAAACCTTGGTGATACTATAGGGGCTTTCAACAAAAATTTCAGAATTCCTATTCCAAGTTTGAAAGTATTCAAGTTTAGTGATTTAGGAAAGGCTACAAGAAATTTTAGTCAAGATTTGCTGTTGGGTATGGGAGGTTTTGGAGAGGTGTTCTTAGGTTGGGTTGACAAGAACACATTGGCCCCATCAACAACAGAAGGTGTTGGAATTCCTGTTGCTGTTAAAAGGTACAGCCAAGGTCTTCCAGAATGGCAGGTAATAAATATACATACATAAGTGTGAATGCAACTAATGAATTTTTGTTTTTATGAATTCTTTTGGTGAATGTAACTTGAAAAAATTTTGTGACATCAGAGCGTGGTGGCCATTTTAGGAAGGTTGGATCATCCAAATATTATTAATCTTTTGGGATACTGCGATGATAAGGAACACAAATGCTTGCTTGTTTACGAGTACATGCAGAACCGAAATCTTGGCCACTTCTTATTCGGAGGTATAATAATAATAATAATAATATGCTTTCTTGACTGTTTCTCAAAAAAAAAAAAAAAAAAAAGCTATATATATTTTTTACTGAAAAGTTGAATTCATAGATGTTTCCACACCACTTTCATGGAGAACACGAGTTACGATAATGATAGGAGTAGCCCGTGGACTTGCTTATATGCATTCCTCAAAAGATCAAGTCATACACCGTGATGTTAAAACCTCTAACATTTTGTTGGATCAGGTACTCTTAAACTACTTAAGATTTTAGGTTTTGTTTTATTTTAATTGTTATTTTTCCAGGATTTTAATGCCAAAATCGGGGATTTTGGGTTGGCAAGATTTGGCCCTGAAATCCGAAAAATAGATGCTTCTACACGCATTATTATGGGCACATTAGGTTATTTAGATCCAGCGTATCTAAGCAATGGTATGTAACATGTATTAGTATATTTATGGATACTAATTAGTAATTACTATAGTATAAAGAGTAATAAAGTAGAGTTTAATGTTACAACAGGTCATTTGAGTGTGAAGAGTGATGTGTATAGTTTGGGAGTGGTGTTGTTGGAAACCCTAACAGGCCAACAAGCATGGGAAATGAAGCGACACATTCATGATTTTAGTTTGGTAAATTGGGCAACCCCATTCCTAACAGATAGAATGAAGCTAAACAAGATAATGGATGTGCGTCTTGGACAAAATTACCCCTTAGAAGCTGCTTTTGCATGTGCAACATTAGCATTAAGATGTGTAGCTATGGATCGTAAAGATAGGCCTTCAAGTGAAGAAGTTTTTCAGAGCTTGGAACAAATTAATACTATATGGTGAGGACTGATGAGGATTCATAAATCATTGGCTAGCAAATTAATACATGACATGTCTTCTGTGTTGTATGGAGGCAACACTAATTAAGTTTCTTCATAGCTACAAGATGCATGCAACAGCTAATTTAACAATCCATTTTAGGATCAAACTTATGCAAAGGTATTACAATGATGATCAAAAAGGGGAATTCAATAGTGAATCCACTATAGCCAGAGTTCAACCTTTCACGATCCTAAGGGCAATTTAGGAATTTCATATAGGGGTTACAAATAGCTTTTTCAAAGTTATATTTTTGAATCACAACCAAAAAGAACAAGTGAAAGGGTACTTGAAGAACGCAGTTCAACTTCACTAAATATTGAGGTAATTAGATGAAACGTATTATGATGGGTTTTTTTTTTTAATAGATGAATGTGATTACCATATTTTATTTTGTAAACAGGTTTAACTTATGTAAACATGTTGAAATGGTGATTTTTTGTGAATATTTCTAATTCTGGAACTGACATGTTTTATAATCATGTATGATTCAAGGTACAATGCCTTAATAAGAAAAGGATATATAAAATAAAATACATGGTTGTAATAAATAAGACTCATTACAACTTTTTTATACACAAATTTGGATTTTAGCTGGTAAAAGGTCATCAGCTTGTGTTATATATTCAAGCTTTCTTCTGAAATCACTCTTTTGCTTCGGAGTTCCATTTCCATGGACTAGAGTGTTGTTGGAATTCTTAGCATATCATTAATTCAACTCTTTTGATGTTTGGAAATTTGTGCTTACTATTTTGTTATATCACCATTTTAACAAATATACCATATTGAAACCAACTATGCTAGTGTGCTACTAAATTGTTATTTGTAAATTTGACACAAGAAAATTTCATAACCATTTTGTATCATCTATATTCGAATCATTCATGTTTGATGCATGATTACCTAAAGAGAGTTTGTTATAGTATGTTTTTTTGCACAATCTAATACCATTTGTATACTACGTATGTGTATGTTCACTCTGCTGACTCTTGACCACATTCATCACCTTGAGATTCCTCCTTATTCTTTGCAGAAACATCCTTGTGACTTTTCTCTTTTGGCTCATCACCTTGAGCATGCTCTTTTTCTTTTACATTTGAACCACCAATTTTCAAGCGTCCAAAAGTTTCACTCAAACTAGGTTCTTCACCTGCTGCTTCTGTTCTTTTAGAACCCTCTGATAGAGATTTCCTTCTTAGAACATGTTGATGTTGATGTTGCGCCTTCTTTCTTTCTGATAGAGGTTTTTTTGACTTGGTCTTTTCTGATTCCCCATCATCACCAGATTTGTTCTTACTTACTATATGATGAGACAAAACCGGCTGCTTTTGCTTTTGCTTTTCTGTTGAACCAGCTTCCCCGGCAACCTGTTGCTTTGGTTTTTCCTTGAGCATGGCTTCTTCTGCTAATTCATTACGTTCAAAAAACTCACGCCAACAAGGCTCGTTAAACTCCCACCACAATTCCTCTTGTGCTGCAGAACCTTCTGTGGGCTGGCATTGCATAATTATATTAATTATACTATCAATTAATTATAAATTAACAACTCACCTCGTAGGTTACTGCCCGAATTAATTTGATGGCCTTTATGACATTCTCACGTGGACCAAATACATTGATCAATCTCTCCCGTTCTGAACCACCAGGAGGGGCACCAGCTTCAATCTGTACATTAATTAATCTTAATACCAATTATATAATGATATTGTACTAATAATTAATTATATGTCAAGATGCGTGTAACAAACCTTTATCCATGCACCAGACTCCATTTCCATCCTCAGGATATTAGTGCCGAAGCTCCCAAGGACACCAATAACCTATATACATATATTTAGACACAAAGCTTTAGACAAGTAATCAAATTCAGGCTTTTGGGCAGCAGATTAAGAGTGCATGTAGATTCCATTCCATGTCGATTTCATTTTGTTGGAAACCTTCCGATTTTCATCCTTACAAGGAATTCAATTCTTTTCTTTTAAAAGTTGTTTACTACTATCATTAAGCTTCATTCCTTCAATCTCCTGTCAAAGTGACTAGTAATAACTAATGATAACTTGATTCCATTCTTCCAAAACAAACATCCATTTTACAATTAATTAAAAAAAAAAAGTGAAATTAATTATCACCTTGTTGACAGGAATGATGATGTGGTCCCCATAAATGGTTGGCGGCATCAGAATTACTGGATAAGCCAAGGTACTATATGTCTACAAAGAATGAACCACATACAAATTAATTAATATATGGGCAAGTGTAAGTATGCAACTATATATAAACCTAAAATTACAAAAAGTTCAGTTAAGTTAAGTTAAGTGGTATATATCATATATGAGACTAATATTAATCTTCAAATCTCCTTGGCAAGAGCTGATAACCATGCGTATATAAATTTGAAGTTGGAACAATTAATAGTCAAAATTAATATTAATTTACATATCGGAATCTGAATGGGACAAATTAAATATTGCAAACTTTTGTCCCACACACCAACCCAACAAAGGCATGCATGCATCTCCTCTGTACAGAATTGAAGCAGAAGACATGCATGCATGAATTAACAATGCCATTGGATTCTAGCTGATTTTCATTATGGAAATTAATAATTCAATTAATTCTGATCTCACCTTTAGTATGCTGCCTAGGATGAGTCCTTCAGCAGAATTAACTTCTTCAACAGTACCCACCAAATCAATATATGAATGACTATGAAGATTGGATTCAGAATCAGCTAATATCCCAATTGTGGCTTTTGAGGCTTTATGAACTTCACTCATCCCTTCAAAATCTTTCCCAATGAATTTCACTAGCTGAGAATTAACATATATAGAAAAGTTAAGAGCAGGATACAAATTAATTATTTATTTTTATCAGCAAGAGAACAATTAAAACTTATTGAGTTCCATATATGTTATTAATTATTAATTGTGTGGTGCATGTGGTGTCACATATTTACTTACTTCTTTATTACGAATCCGATACACTTTCCTATCAAGTTTCGCCCCTCCAGCAATTGCCTCAGCAAGATGCTGAGCTCTCCGTGCATCATCTTCTGATAATTGACACACAAAAAAAAAAAAAAAAAAACATTGATTACATTTGATCTTTGATCCAACAAATAAATGAAATAAATCTAGCTAGAGATTATTTTAAAGAAACGTACACATCATACAAAAAAGATATTTTGGGGGAAAAGAGAGAAAAGATTTGCACCAATGGAATTAAATTTGAAATTATATATATATAATATATATATATATATATATATATATATATATATATATATATATATATATATATAATCAAGAAAACAAACTAATGACAAAAAATCCAAAGGAAAAGGAGAATTGGTGGTGATATTGATTAATTATACATAAATATAATATATTCAACTGCTTACCGAAAATTTTCATATAGGTGAGATCATCGGCTGTGGAATCACTATCAGGCTTCAGCAACGCCTTGGGTAACCGCAGATTTGGTTCTTCAATTTTGGCCTTCGGATATTTGTCTCTTGCTGCTGCCTTTGCCTTTTGCTCCATTTTCAATTTGCCTCCTTAATTAATTCAAAACATGAAAAAATTCAATGAAAAAATTCAATGAAAAAATTCTTTTAATTTACAGGTCTCTGTACTACGTATAGTAATTAGTAAGTAGGGTTTCAAGTAGAAACAACAAAAGCGGGAAAATCTGTTACAATTGACTTTAATTCATACTTTATACGTACACTTAATCCATTCATATATATATATATATATATATATATATATATATATATATATATATATATATATATATCCGGTAAGAAGAAAATTTTTGGTAGGAAGGTAAGAAGTTTTTTTTCTATATATTTTTTTAACGAACAAAATAAATGAATCACTAGATGATTCATTTGTAAGAGGATTCACAAGAAAAAATTCCCAAAAAAACATCTTTATGATTCATTTTTAAGTAAATTAAGAAAAAATTCACTTTTATGACAATTTTAGTGAATAACAACAAAATCATTGTATAAATGAATCATCGAGATGTTTTTTTGAGAATTTTTTCTTGTGAATCATCTTACAAATGAATCATCTAATGATTCATTTTGTTTGTTCGCGAAAAAAATATGTCATATATAACAATGTGTATATATGTCATATATAACAATGTATGTCATATATAACAATGTGTAATAGTCGCAATATGATTGGGCAATTTGTGTCCTTTTATGTTGTAAGTTGTAACGAGGACCTATAATAATAAAAAAAATGCATATATATGAGTTTCTTAGTTATTTCAGAATTATTTATATATTTGTTATTATTCAAGTTTCAAAGGAAATGCATTTTATCAAAAAAAAAAAGTGTCAAAAAGAAATCTATCGATTGTATCAATGACAAACAAACCTCTTTTCCACTTTTGATTTTTTTTTCATGTTTTGCCAAGTTTCTAACATTTTTTCTTCAAAAATACTTATATCTATATATTTTACTTCTAAAAACAGTTTCAGGAAGTAATACTTCCTAAAAACCATAAATATTATTCGGTCATACTTTATTTATTATTTAGAATATCCGATATTGTAAAATTAATGATGAGTAGCTAAACCCGTTACATATATAGTATTACTCAGAGATTAGTAATTGTGGTAATAATTTTTGTTTTGGTTTTGGTCCCAAACCTTTTTTATAAATTGATTATGTTGCCTTACATTTGATAATTATTAAACTTTAAATATTTATTTGAAATAAATTACAAATTAATTTAAAAAAAAATAACATAAATATATCATCTAATAAATAAAAATTAAAATTCCTAGTTCACCTTTTTCCTTTTCGGATTTTGCTTGCTCAACATCCTCAACCTGTCTTTTCTCTTTTGATCTATAATCACCTTCTTTGTCATCTTCAGTTTTTGCAGAATCATGAGCTTTTTCATGCACATGCTCTGGCTGCTTTTCTTTTTCTATTACAATGGGCCCACCTTCCTCAGCCTGCTTCCCTTTTTCCCATTCACCGGATTCCTTATCCTTCCCTTCTTCTGTTTGTTTAGATCCCTCGCCACCACCAGATTTCTTAAGTCGTATAATAAGTTTTTTTGACTTCTTTTTTAATGATTCAGCTTCTCTTTCTTTAACATCATGCTCATTCTTTTCTATTGTCGGCTCAACGATACCACCTTCCTCAGCCTGCTTCCCTTTTTCCAGTTCACCGGAATATTCCTTAAGCTTGGCTTCTCCTGCACAAAGGGTCTTACGTCAGACATATATCCAAGTTTCAATTTAAAATGCATTTAATAAAAAAACGTGACAAAAAGAAATTATCGGTTGTATCAATACAACCTCTTCCTCTTACAAAGAAAAGTAATTTGATATTTTTTTCCATTTTGGCAAATTTTTAATTTTCATTTTCAAAAAAAAATAATAATAAATTGTATGTTTAATTTTCATAGACTCTTTCAAGAATTAATATTTTCTCTGACAACAAAAAATAATTTACTTTAAGAATCTTGGTTTGGGTGAAATGATTTACAGGTTTCTGAAGGGCTTCATTTGGCTTTATCAATTTATGCACTTAAGTCCTCTGAGATATAATTTACTTACGTTCGGTCCCTGCACTTGTGATATAGCGATGTGGAGATCAGGTTCCTTTTTCTAATTGAATATGATTGGCCAAATTACTAAAATTTTAAAAGCCATATATATAATTTTAGTATACCATAACAAGAAACTAAAATTTTCAGGTTATAAATGTATTATAACGTACATATGCAAAATTGTTTCTTTAAAGACGTCTACAGTATGTTACTTTTTTTAGAAATCTCTTCAACTAACCCTTTTATGAGTATGTTACTTATTTTGATCAGGTTTATTAACAAATGTGTTGAATCATTTTTGACCCAATATTTTTTTATCTTAGATTCTTAATTAATCAAGTTGCGTTCTTTTGATTATAAATAGTGCTAGTCCATATATGAAGGGACAAATTATCAAGGTATTTCCAAGTTTCAATGGAGCAATGCATTTAGTTATAAATAAAACGTGACAAAAATAAACTATTAGTTGTATCATTCAAGAAGTTTCTGCTCCTCTTCCCTAAAAGGATTCTTTCTTTGTTTCATTTTTTGTAACTTTCTAATCTTTTTTTTTTCAAAAATACTTAATTATGTATGTTATATTTCTAGAAACTGTTTTAATTGAGTATTTATCAGTGAACTTATTTTTCAATATAGAAGATCTTTTAATTCACATATTTGATCTCTTTTTTCTGATTACGCACTCTTAAACAAAATATATATATATATATATATATATATATATATATATATATATATTCTCTTATTTGATGACTTCTTTTAAAATTCTTTATTTTAAATATACAAATAATATTTGAAATTTATTTCACAAAACATAAAATGATTACGTCTAATAAAATATTAAATTCATCACCTTTTTCACTTTCAGATTCAGCTTCATCCACATGCTTTTTTTCTATTACACTGGAACCACCTTCCTCCTTCCCTAATATTTTGGATTCATCATGAACAGGTTTTATATGTCCAAAAGTTTGACTCCATTTTGGTACTTTAAACTCTCCTTCTACTGTTTCTTTGGATTTAGATCCCTCTGGTTTCATTCGTAGAAAAGTACTAGTTTGCCGCTTTTCCTTTTTGTCAGATGAATATTCACTCCCTTGGGTAGCTCTTTCTGTTATATGACCGGAACCACCTTCCTGATCAGCCTGCCTCTCCGGTCCACCGGAATATTCCTCAACCTGGGGCTGGGCTTCTCCTGCTAATTCGTTACGTTCAAAATACTCACGCCAACAAGGCTCGTTAAACTCCCGCCATAATTCTTCTTGTGCTGCAGAAGCTTCCGTGGGCTGCATTGCATAATTATATTAAAACCTTAATTTATACTCCATAATTATATTAATTAATTTAAATTATGAACGATGGATTGATCACCTCATAGGTTATTGCTCGAATTAATTTGATGGCTTTGATGACATTCTCACGTGGACCAAATACGTTGATTAATTTCTCCTGCTCCGAACCACCTGGAGGGGCACCTGCTTCAATCTGAACATACGCACACGCACGCACTCCATTATGTTATAAATAATTACTATTTAATTATTCATATGTGTAAATCAAATAATTCATAACAAACCTTTATCCATGCACCACACTCCATTTCCATCCTCAAGATATTTATGCTGTAGGTGCCAAGGACACGACTAACCTATATATATAAATAAAAACAACAATGATTCAGAATACTAAAAGACCAAAATACCCCTGCCCCAATTCTGGGTTTTAGACTTTTAGTCCGATTAAGGGCGTGTTTGGTTTGTGGGATCCAATGGAATCGGAATTCGAGATTCCATTACATGGGTTGACGAATGGATGGAATTCAATTCGGTTGGAGTTGTTTTAGATTCGAACCATGAGGGTGGAGTAGTAACTAGTAAAGAATTCAACTTCACTTGTTAAAAGACTAAATACCCTCGTTCCTATTTGGATTTTTTTCACAGATTTTATTCGTTTCAAAAGTTTAAATTAATTTATCACCTTGTTGACAGGAATGATGATGTAGTCCCCATAAATGGTTGGTGGCATCAGAATTACTGGATAAGCGAGGGTACTATATGTCTACAATGAATTAATAAACCAGGCAAGTGTAAGTATATATATATATATATATATATATATATATATATATATATATATATATATATATATATATATATATATATATATATGCGAAATAAAAAACTTTTTGAATTTGGGAAAATAGTTCAAATGAACATCTTTTCACAGAACAGAAGAAAACCTTTAGGGTGTTATCCAGGATGAGTCCTTCAGCTATATTGACTTCTTCAACAGTACCCACTAAGTCAAGATATGAATGACTATGAAGATTGGATTCAGCATCAGCTAATATCCCAATTGTGGCTTTTGAGGCTTTGTGAATCTCACTCATCCCTTCAAAATCTTTCCCAACGAATTTGGCAAGCTGTGAATAGAGAAAAGATAACAGGGTATATACAAATTAACAACAAGAAGATGAAATTAACTTGAATTCCAATTATTAATTGTGTGGAACTTACTTCTTTATTACGAATCCGATATACTTTCCTATCAAGTTTTCCCCCTGCAGCAATTGACTCAGCTAGGTGCTGAGCTCTTCTTGTATCATCTTCTGATAATTGAGACAAAATAGTTGAAATATGCATGTTAGGGTTTGGGAGTTATATATGGAATCATATGAATCTAATCATCGGAGAGATTATTTTCAAGAAACAGTTCATTTCAACTTGATTATTGATAGAAGATCCAGACAGAATCTAAACAGAGATTATTTCAAGGGAGACTGTTAACATTAACAACAGAAGGTTATTTGGAAAATGGATAGAATTCTGTGAGAAAGATCTGTAGGTATTGGAAGTTATATATGGAATCATATGAATCTAATCATAGAGGTTTATTTCAAGAAATGCTTCACTTCAATTTGATTATTGATACAAGATCCAAACAGAATCTAATTAACAGAGATAATTTCGAGAGAGACTATTAACACTTAACAACAGAAGCTTATTTGGAAAATAGATAGAATTCTGTGAGAAATATCTGTAGGGAAAGAAGCATCATCAAGAACTATGGAAGTAGGAAATCATTTCAATGGAGACTATATATGAACAACATTGATTACGTACAGTTTTCTTGGTGACAAAATCAAACGCATAGATCAAATATATCAGATCACTGATACCAAAAACAAGAAGAACTGTTTAGATACAAAGATTAACGTCAAGAAACCGAACCCAGAAGAAATCGCTTGAAAAATAAACTAGATTCACCAAGAAACCTCACGAGAACTTAGAAAAAAGGAAAAGCGAACAAACATCGACATTCCACCACCTTCTTGAACACGGAAGTTGAAATGCAAATACATAAGAAATGACGGTGACATCATACAATTTCGTAGAGATATGTTCAACTTCTTACCGAAAATTTTCATATAGCAGAGATCATCATTCGGATCACCATCAGGTTTCAGCAACGCTTTGGGTAAGCGCAGAGTTGGTTCTTCAATTTTGGCCTTCGGATATTTGTCTCTTGGTTGAATTGGCTCCATTTTCTTGCCTCCTGTGAAAGATGGAGGAAGAAGAAGACGAAGCGGAGGAAGATCGATCAAATTTGTGTGTTGCGTGAAGTGATTTGCAGGTTTCTGTGAAGGGTTTCAAGTAGATATAAGAAAGCGGGAAAATCCGTTGCAATTGACATGATATTTGACGTCAGCAACTCAGCATTATACATTTAAGTCCTCTGAGATATAATTTATTTAATATTAGTCCCTGTATATGTTGTATAACAGTATAACGAATGTGGAGTTCAATTCCGGTTGGTCAATTGAATATAATTGAGCAAATTGCTAAATTAGAGTGTAACTGTGTTAATTTCTGTTCTAATTTTTTTTTTTTTTTTTTTTTTTTTTTTTTTTTTTTAATGGTGTATAAGGACTTATAATTTAAAATTAAAAAAAAAACATTTATTTCGGTATCCAACGAGAAATTAAACTCTGTGGGTTATAAATGACGTATTATATTCAAAATTGTTTTTCAAAGAACATTCAAAAGTTTTAATTATTTTTTAAAGACGTATAAACGATTAATTATATCTACAGTTTTAGAAACCTCTAGCCCCCCCCCCCCCCCCCCCCCCTTAAATGGCAACCGTTTCTTCCTTTGGTTTATGATTTTCTTAATTATTTAAGATTTATTTTTAAAAATACTTTAATATGTTTTTCTTCAAAATATTATTGCAAGAAAATATATGTCGATTTGAACGTATTTTCTAATTTCATAAACATTTCAAGTTACATACCTAGGGGCGGACCTAGTAAGTGTCCCGGTGTGGCATCGGCAACACCTACTTTTTCTGTTCGTAGTGGAAAATTTTTCGATTTTTCGATTTTTTTACCTATTTTTTTCTACGTCGGCAACACCTATTTCAACCTCGACAACACCTATTATGTATTACTGCGTCCGTCCATGTACATACCGATATCGTTTTGCCTTCGTAGCATGGGTTCCAAGATACTCAATCACTTGCAACACTTTCTAGCAACAACTCAGTAGTTCTTGATTATATGTTTCAATATTAATATTTATTTGACAACCAACTATCACAAATATTCACTTTAATTATTAATAAATTTTATTGTTTACAAAATCTCAGTATTATGACAAATATGAATTACATTAAGACTTTGTGTATGTAATTGCAATCCGTTGACATGTTAAAATTATGGTTTCATTTTAACAATGTAGATTTATACAACTGTTTTTATTAGTAAAAAGGATAAAATTATAAAACTGGTAAGTAGTTTGAAAAAAAATTGTATATAGAGTCCAAAATGTTTTCAATTTGCATGGAATGTCCAAAATAAGGAAATTAATGTGGTTTTGGTCGAAATGACCCTTTTGCCATTTTAATTTCTTCTTTTATTTTTTTCTTATTTATTTTAATACTTAAATAATAAAAATAAAAAACAAAACAACAAGTCTCTCTCTCTCTCATAAAAAGAAAAAAAACACACACATGAATACAAAACCGACAAAAGAAAAATGAAATTACAGAAACAATTTCCATTTTCAACCAATCCTATTATGGTTTACTTGAAAGTACTATCTTTTATTAGAATCTTTCATAAAAAAAAACATGACTCAAGATAATCCTTTAGGCTTCCGTTTCCAACTACCTTGGTTACTATAATCTGCACTAGCTCCACAGCCTACAATCGTCACCGTCGTCGTCGCCATTATCAACATCACCATCGCCACATGTTCAAGATAAGTTACTAGTACCCAATTACCTTATTGCTAAAATTATTGATCATGTTGAAACTCGATCTATAAAAGAAACTCAAACCACCACCCTAACTGCACCAACCATTGCAACCACAAGCCTGTTAACTTCGTCTTAAAGGGCGTTGTCATTCAGACCACCAAGTCCTCCCCAACCCTTATTACTGGCGAAACCTAGCTCTTAACCCTCATCCCCATCTCGTTCAGGCTCCAAATTTTAAGATGCTTCCCTTTGTCGACATCTAAACTAGATGATACCCCATAAATCAAAAGGTCGATAAAAATTACACATGAAAAAAATTCCAGTGGATTCATATCAAGTTGCTTAGGGTGTTTATGTTACCACTGATGAAAATCCAAGGAGATGACAGAAGTAAAAGGGGTACAAAACCAAATACATGAGTCCATATTCAATGGAAGCAAAATCTCCAAAACCAAAACAAAAAATTGCAACACATGTTCCCATACACATAAACATCATATCCATGAATCCTTCTTTATCTCTGGCTCCAATCGAAGGACCTGGTGGGCCACGCCACCACTCGACAGACAAGATGAAGAAATAGAATTCTTGTTACTACCATGCTTACATCGAATCAAAATAGAACTCTCGTCACCACCACCAAATCATTTCAGATTAAAAAAATAATAATAATCCATTCAACAAGAAAATCATCATCTTCATTTAATCTAAGCATCAATTGTGAATAACCAATAAATCCATATTCAATTGAAGTAAAGAGACATACTCTAAGAGCAGAAAATGAAGAACATGATAAATGATGAGTAAGAACCTTATAATCTGCCTCCATTAGATACAAGAACATAAATCCTTGATGATAAACCAATAAGCATCATCTAGGAATTTTTTTCAAAAAAATTCAAAGAGCCAACAAGCTACTAGTTTTAGTACTTCACGGAGGCATCATACTATGGAAACAAAATATTATGTGGTTTTACACTGAACAAAAGTTGCATCAGTTTAGTTATATTGTTATCTCCATCATATTCCTAACAATCAAATGATTTATACATGTGGGAAGGTGATCCTTCTAGATAGAGGTGCGCTATGTTATGTACCAACCTTGATTTATCTAAAAGCAAGAGATAAACCATTGAGACAAATGATTGACCCCTTTGATTTATTTCCAAGATTGAGTCCAACTTCCCAATTGGAAACTCCGATGACATAAGTAGAATAACAGAATCGTCGCGCTTTTGAACAAGATGAAATCTCTCTGGACAAATCGCAGGCCTTATATAGTCCAATTGAGCTCATTGATGTATTAAATTGCATCTTCGACCACTGATGTTTGATTTCATTAATCGTTGTCAAATACTATGGCTTTTGGTGCAATCATGAAACACACAAAGGGGAAAATGGGAGGGATACATGAAGAAGAAGAAAAGGTGGCAGCTTGGAGAAGAAGAGGTGCAAGTGTGACTGATCTAGGGTTTATTTTTTTCAATTGTCAACAAATTATATCCAATCAATATATCTTTGTGGACATACTCACACACTTATAACACTAGTGAAACCAAAGAATAAGGAGTGCATTAGTATACAAGAAAAAACATTAGTGACAAACTAAGATCAAAACTTATAGTTCCATAGATAACAGTAACAACAACATTAACCCTTAATTTAACATTTTTGAAGTTTATTCCTTGCTGTATACATACCGCGAAGGCTTCGTGGTAGCCATGTGAACATGTGGACATACATCACAAGCGTGCATACACCTCGTGTGCCTTGTAGTGCCACTTTCGTTTTCCATCATGTTCCCGACCATATTTCACCACAACCAATCACTTTTCTTCTTCTCTCTTGCAACCCTCTTATCCTCTTTCTTCTTCAATAGACTAGCACCACCTATGGTGGTTTTATGGTGGTGGTGTTGTTGACCAAGAAGCTCTTCACCCAGTTTGCATGAGGATGGTCTTAGTGAACAAAAGGTGACAAAGCTAAAAGCATTATTAACAAATTATAGGGTATATACAATATGGTATTATTGAATATACGGTGACAAAGCTAAAACATTAATGACAAATTTTATCATATTTTTTTTGTTAAAAATATATGAGTGCTTTTCTGACCATAAATATCAAAATGGTGATTATTTAATACTATTATTTTAGTAATTGCATTTCAAATTTCAACCAACCATTCAAATGATGTTTTTTGGTGTTAAAAAACCAATCAAAACAATGTAATTTTTGAAGATCGATCGGAGTAAAATTGGACATGATGATCTAGAGGTCGTATTGGAACGGCAGTCGCTAACAAATCAAACGGCATCGACGTTACCATAGGCTACACAACATACGGCCTCTCCCAGTATCGCTACACCAACAACATCACCAAATGGACGAAACCCTAGTTACATCATCTGAACCACCACCATCTGACGGGGATCCAATGGATGTTGTAACCGAACCTCATAACCCTAATGATAACCAGTCTGCCTCAAGTTCCGATTCCGACTCAGAGTCGGACGACGAAGCTCAAGCTGCTCTCGAATTACAAACCCTAGAAACGGAGCTCTCGACAAACCCTGCCAACTACGATGCTCATGTTCAAGTATGTCTGATTATTTTTACTTGTTTGGAGTTATGTGTTGAAACTGAGTGTAGTTATTACGTATTGTTCTAATGTATGGTGTGTATATGTAGTATATAAAGGCTTTGAGGAAACAAGGCGATATTGATAAGCTGCGGCTAGCAAGGGAGGCCATGAGTGAGTTGTTCCCGCTAACTCCTGCAATGTGGCAGCAATGGGCAAATGACGAAATTTCACTCACCTTGACTTCTGGGTAGGCTATTGTTTCCTCTTCTCTGTACAAACTTTTATTTTCTTTCAAGAAGAAGAGGATGCCGGATGATTAGAATGAGGATTCGTTGTCGTGTGCAGGAACAATAGGCACATTCAAAACCTTATGAACACCATCAGAAAATAGAACTTGTGACTCGTTATAATTTGTTGTACATAATGCAGGAATGAGGGGGCAATTCCAACTGTTGAGAAGCTATATGAGCGTGGAGTATCTGATTACTTGGTAAGCTTCACACATTTCTAAATTTTTGTTTCAGTGCCCTTCTTAATGTTACATTCATGGCTATGAAATTTGTCTTTTGAGTTTTGACTATGCTGATTTTCATCTTCAGTGGTGAATTGTCATTCATCAAAACTGAAATGATTGATTGCTTTCTGCAGTCCGTTTCTCTGTGGTATGACTACCTGAGTTTCATTCAAAAATATGATTCTTCT